ATACTTTGAACCTTAGTCTCAACTACTCTAGATGGACCATGGCACCAATACAAGGCAGGGTTAGTGTGGATACTAGGATTAATCACATGGCCCTCTACCCGTTGGATGGTCTATATCAACCTATGGATCCCTCCATGTGGTTTAAGTTGGTAGAGTCATATAGTCATTTAGGATGTGTTTGGTTTGAAGGAAAAAGTAGGGAAATGTAGGGAAACCTTTTACAAACCTTATATACGTTTCCCTTTCTTTCCCTACCTTTTCCTTCAAACCAAAGATAGCCTTAGTGACCAAAGAATGTTGCACATGGCAAAAGAGGCCTAGAAGTTCCTTTTTCTTTGAATAAAAGTTAACTGATTTCATTAAAAAGAGAGAAAGGTACACAAGAAGGTGTACATACATAACAGGGGTCAGACCCCTAAGAATTACACAGGAGGAGTTTTGTCACAATACAAGGACTCCAGAGTTGCACCTAATTTTGCTAATCCATCTGCAATGGCCTTTAGCTCCCTTGGAATCCAGTACAGAGAAACATCCGTAAGAGCCAATAGATCTCTTGCCTCTGTTAAGAAGTAACTAAGTCTCCACGGTCCAGCTTCCTATTGTCCTAACCATTTTATAGTGTTTGCTGAGTCACCTTCGATGGAGAAGTTCTGAATACCCAGTTTGCTGACTAGGTGAATCCCTGTAAGAGCTGCTAACACTTCAGCCTTTGTAGAGTCAGTTATTCCAATCGGTCCATTGTAAACACAACAGATGAACCCATTTTCATCTCTTAGGGTTCCTCCTATGCCAACAACTCCAGGGTTACCCAAGGCACTTCCATCAAAACTTAGAGTCCAAGTTCTTTCCCTTCTTATTGAGGGGACTCTAGGGGTGTGTGGGATAGAGGGGGAGGAGTGCAGAAAGTGGAACACATTCCTGTTGAGGTCATTAACATTGAATCCTTTGAACTCTTCTGAGCTGGAAGCCTGTAGATTGTAGTGATATGCAATGTGATTGAGCAGCTCACCCTTAGATTTTGCCTTATTTTCAAATAGTCAATTGTTCCTTTCCTCCCAAATTCCCCAGAGCACAGCATGAAGCACTATCAGCCAATAAGCCTTACCTCTCTTGCTCAGACCTCTTCCATGACATTGAGAAATCAAGTCCTGAAGGTGATTAGGAGCCACCCAACTATACCCAGCTAGCTGTAGGAAGTAGTTCTAGATGTTGCTAGTTACCTGGTAGTGTATGAAGAGGTGGTCGGTTGTCTCTCCCTCACAGAGACAAAGGATACAAACATGAGGGGAGATATAAAGCCTTCCAAGGTTCTTCTTCTGAAGTAGCTCACAAGTGTTAACTCAATTCAGACAAGCCTCCCATACAAAGAAACTCACTCTTGAGAAAACAAGCTTGCACCAGATCTTCTTGAAAGGGAAACCACGGTCTCTATTTTTTGCTACCAAAGCTTTGAAGAAAGTCTTAGACGAGAATTCACCTCCTGGGTGGGGTTTCTAGACTTGGGAATCTTGGGAGTTTGGGGAAATGTAAACTTCTTTGAGAGAGAGGAGAAGGTCTGCTAACTCACTTATCTCTGGTTCCCTTAAGGGTCTTCTAAGGCTTAAGTTGATGTTGCTTTCATTGGAAGAATTGGAGAGGCACTGAGAAATGGTTGCATCTTTGTTTAGGGTAAGGTTGTAAATCTTAGGATAGGAATTTGCCAAAGTGGAATCACTCCACCACAGATCAGTCCAGAACTATATTCTATTTCCATTACCCACCCTAAATCTTATGAAAGAAAGGAAGAGGTTGTGAATGGAAGTGATACATTTCCAAGGAGTTGAGGAAGCTAGCCGGTTTGAGCAGAGATTGCAGTCCCAACCGTTTGCATTTAACCCATACTTGTTGGTGATGATAACTGCCCAAAGGGATTCAATGGGGAATCTCCACAGCCATTTTCCAAGGAGGGAATTATTCTTCACTTTTAGGTGTCTGATTCCCAACCCTTCAGCCTCTTTTGGCTTGCAAACTTGATTTCAATTTACTAGATGTCTTTCTCTATCATTTCCACCTTCCCATAGAAAATCTCTTTGAAGTTTCTCAATCTGTGATATAATTTTGGCTAGGATCTAAAATATTGAAAGGAAGTAGACAGGCATGTTTACAAGAGAAGCCTTTATGAGGGTGAGTCTGCCCCCTTTTGAGAGATAGCAACATTTCCAAGTAGCTAATTTCTTTTCACATTTTTCCACCACTGGCTCCAAAAAATGTGGACTTTTTGGATTCCCACCAAGGGGCAATCTCAGATAAGATAGGGGGAAATTTTCCACTCGGCAATTCAGAATTTTCTTGAAACTTTCCAGGAGGGAATCTTCAATTTGGTTTGTAGTTGCTAGGCTACTCTTTGAGTAATTAACCTTCAACCGAGAGACTAATTCAAAGCATTAAAGCACTCTTTTCATACTTATGATATTCTCCAAATTTGCTTCTAGGAATAGGATGACATCGTCTGCAAATAAGAGATGGGAGATATTTATGGCATCTCTTCTTACCTCAAACCACTTAATTAAGTTAAGGCTTTTGGCTTTCTCCATGAGCTGGCTAAAGATATCCATTACCAAAGTGAAGAGGAACGGGGATAGAGGACAGCCCTGTCGGAGATCCTTACTTGCTTTAAAGTAACCTTTGGGCTCTTTGTTGATTATGATCGAGAACCAGGTTGAACTTATACAGCCTTTCATCCATTGCAGCCACTTTGTTCCAAAACCCCTCAGTTTCAGAACTTGGAAAAAGACAGTTCCAATCTACTTTGTCGTAAGCTTTTTTCCAGATCTAGTTCCACAAGTAGGCCCGTCCTTCCACTATTGCTTCTATCTTCGACAACTTCATTTGCAATTAGGATGCTGTCTACAATTTGTCTTCTTTTCACGAATGCAAACTGATTTGGAGAGACCAACTCTTTTAGGACTTATCTACGTCTTTTGCTAGAACCTTTGCCAGGATTTTGTACACACTCCCTACTAGATTTATTGGTCTAAAGTCTTTCACCTCCAAGACACCATTTTTCTTCGGAATGAGGCAGATAAATGTAGAGTTATTTCCTTTGTCTACAACTACCGTGGAGTGGAAATCCTTAAAGACCTCCAAAAGATCCACTCTTACAACTTCCCAACATATCTGAAAAAAGAAGATTGGAAAGCCATCGGGCCCAGGGGCTCTATCTCCATCCATCTCGAATACTGTTTCTCTTGTTTCTTGCTCCTCAAATTCCCTTTCGAGCCATTTTCTTTTATCTTCTGCTAGAGTCGGCCATTCCCATCTTAAAAATAACTTCCTACCACTTTCCTTGGAGTAAAGATTTGTTAAGTGGTTAAGAAACGCTTCTGTGATTTCTTCAGCATCTTCCACTTCCCTCAAGTCCACTTTAATTTTTGAGATGAGATTCTTTCTATGCCTACCTGATGCATAGTTGTGGAAGAATTTTGAGTTATTATCACCTTTCTTTGACCATTTGACTCTTGACCTTTGCCTCCAAAAGATTTCTTCTATTCTGATTACCTTTTCCCAAGAATTCCTTAAATCATCTCTCCTCCTTCATTCTTCGTTCAAAACTCCTGATTGCTCCCTATTATCCAGATCTTCCAATTCCAATAGGATGGCACTTTTTCCTCTACAAACGATTTAAATTCTTCTCTCCCCCAAGCTTTTAGTTTTCTTTTCAGGAATTTCAGCTTTTGCAACAATCTATGTCCAGCCCAGCTCTCAACTCTACATTCCTTCCACCAGGAAGCTACATTTTTGTGAAAATCTTTATGTAACGTCCACATTTTCTCCAGTCTAAAGGGGGGTTTACCTTTCATGACCATATCTGTTCTCAAGACTAAAGGCCAATGGTCTGAAATGCAACGATGTCTGATTTCTTAGAGGAGATTTGGGAATTTTTCTATCCAATCTGAAGTTGCCAATTCCTTTGCCCACCCTCCATTCAAGGAAAAAGAATTTTGGCCTAAAACACATTTCCAGGTGTGCAAAAGAAGAAAAAAAAAAGAGCAAATCAATCATACATTTCAATAAATCAAGGTTCAAAGTATTGGCCCGTATCGGCCGATACATATCATTTTGGGACCCCTCCAATATGCCCCTACAATGGGTGTGTTGGAGGTCTAACCGGTTCAGGGGGTAGAGGAGACCTAAACCGGCCCCCCTGAACCGGTTGCAAAAAAAAAAAAAAGGGACCAGAATGTGTATGGATTCGACGTATTAGGTGTATCAATATTTTAAACCTTGCAATAAATTACTGATGTTTCCATTTTGTTAACATGCAAAACTAAGAGCAATGAAGATTGCATTGTTTTTACTCGCACCATGATTGTCTATTGAGAGGAGCTGAAGGTTTTAAATTTTTCCTCTTCTAATTGTACTTTTTATTTGGAGTTCTATAGTAGATTTAACTGAAAAGGGAAAAAGAAAAAGATGCAGATTACTTCCATTATTTATTTTTAGGCTCCATTTGTAAGGAGTACAAATAAAAATATGTAGAGTGCAAAATCTTATATTTTGTATTATTTTTAATGTAGTTGTACCGTACATATTTGTATTAGTACTCCTTCCAAACTGAGCCTTAGGGGTTGACCAAATCCAAATTTCCAATCACAAGTGACATGAACCTGAACTTAACTAATGGTGAAAATAAAGATGAACCCCTCAAATTATATAAGGTTGTACATCCATATCTTTTTTCTTTCTTTGGTGAAAAATCCATATCAAGTGTTTAACTATTTAACTATTAAAAGATTAAAAAAAAAAAAAGGTAGAGTATATAGTTTGACAATATACCTGGCTGATACATTAGCCAAATAAGGGGTGGGGAAAGATCAACTATTTTGGGCACAATTGTAAGAAAAAGAAAGGTTCTCGAGGGGAGAGATAAGAGGATTTATCTATCATTGACTGCATTCTTCTATTGTATTTGCTTCTTAACTTTGATCCTTTGATAAAATTCATGGTTAATGATACCAAAATAAAAAAATGATGAAACCTCCAACTGATTATAATAATTGCATCAGAAAACTAGTTTATAGATCAATTCTGCCTCCCACACCAAAACAGAATCTGGATGGCAGTACACAAGATATATAGTTCTCACCTTGGAGCATAAAAAAATGGTTACTTCCATTGGCAGCCAGCCAGCCATTGGTTTGCAAATATAAGAAATTCATCAGGTGGAACAGACAATTAAATAGTAGGATCAGGCCTCTCGCTTTGCTTCTCCCAGTTCTGCTCAGCTTCAGAATCATGTTGTTTGGTTGTATTAGAGAATCTGCTTTCCTTTTCTCAATCTGTCTAGCTCTGCCTCAGCATCTTCCAACTGTTGCCTTAGGATGGAAACTCTCTGCTCAAGTTCTTCTGCTGTACCTCTTGTGATAGATGGCTGATAAGGCGTTATAAAGTTGTGTGAAAATTTGTTCAAAGCTTCTACACCACACACCTGGAAAGCACAAATTTGTCATAAAGGGATGAAAACCAAGAAGAAAGGATTTTCTGTAGGGTGTGGACACACTTCTTCTGGGAGCAATGGCAACTTGGTGATGTGGAAGTCATCGTACAGCATGTAAAATTGATCCAGATATTTTTGTTGCATCCTCATTCGAGCTTTTAGCAACTTGGATTCAACGGCTAGACACACACAGACCAAAAAAAATAAAAATAAAAGGGTTCATTAGCTCTATTTTGAATGTCAATCTCAAACCCATCTGTTGATTTGAATGAAGATGACAAAATTGCACCTTCTTCATTGAAAAGTACTTGATTAATGATGATATTGTGAGTGTCAATCTCAAACTTTGTAAGCTCCTGCACCAACCTTTCTGTTTCATAAAGAGAGAGGAATTCCGGAATGCAAACACAGACAAAAGTTGTCAAGTCCTGTTTATTGAACATTTATGGTCAGACCAAGAAGGTTTTTTTTTTTTCAAAAGCATCAAAGAGATAATAGTATTGGTTATCAAAAACAAGATAAACAAAAAGGTAGAATGACAAGTATTATGCAGGTTATGAGTGGTTCGCATGAAACCATTTTGGAGATTTTACAAATGTTAACACCTTTTGAACAGCAATAGAGTTACCATAGATGTAAAAGGGCTTTGATGATGATGATGATGAATGGCATAGTATGTCACCATATCTCTGAATTGAGGGAATTACATTGTATCACTCTAAAAGTACTTCAATATAGTTGTCAAAGTTAAACATCCATTAAGAAATTCAAAGTGATAATGCTCAATTTCAATGACACTTGCTCCATTGCAAACAATTTCAACCTCTGGCACATGAATTGTTCAACATGGAGTGCCATGCCCAAGTCGGAAACTAAAGCTCCTATATATTAGAACCAATTATTTTTTGTCACAATGAGAAGCAATAGAAGTAATGAAAGAATACTTCCAAATTGTTGGAAAATTGCAGATACTCAGCAAACAAACTCTCTGATTTTAGCTTTTCAGAAGTATTTCCTGTTCTTAAAATGAACCCATATCATGTACTTGAAGGTCAATCATCATTGGAGGGAGGGGAAATGGATTACTGGAACTTACTGGATCCTTGAATTGCTTGTTCACTTTCTCAATCACATCTTTCATACCCTCAAGCTTTCCTAGGACTGCATCCTCGCCAAAGTCATCAACACCAAAAATACGAGACATCTGTACAAAAAGTTGGTGACACTCTCAGACAGGCTGGTACTGCACTGTATGAACTGAAGTAACACTTCAGTAGAAACCAAACAATTCTGCAGTAACTAGAGATCAACATTCAACAAAACTAGAATTATCCCAACAAGAGATTAACACCAGTTCCCAACATTCCTGGGCAGAGAAAACACACTTCCCAAGTCACTGCAATACCTCTTGGCATACTAACCTGCAGTGGCACACACCTCTGCAAATAAAAAATCACATGATCCACAGAACTTGCCATACTGAGAATTCTCACAAACTTCCACTGTAGATTGGTTCTCACTTCAAATAATAGTTCCCTTGGTACCACAACTAAAGGGAATAGGAGAGAACAGGAAAAAGGAAGTCCTACCTCAGTCCAAAGTTGTTTCTTGAACCCAAAAATCAAATATATATATATATATATATATATATATATATATATATATACATATATAAGAAGAGAAAAGGATGGCTGGACGGAGATTGATCAGAGCTCCTGCTCTGACACCATATAGGGAATAGCAAGAGGTGACGAAATAGATGAGAAGAAAAGATCAAGATAGAATAGCAAGAGGAGACGAAATAGACGGAATAGAATTTAGAACGGGATCAAGTCATGAAAATGGAAGGCCCAAAATGGGTCAACAAGCTACGGAATAAAACAGAAAAGAGGTAAGTAACAAAGGAATGTTCGACAAAAGAGATAAGTTGATAGAAAGTAACTAAATATAGACATAGATGCTTCTCTGTGAAAAAGGTCCCAAATCATGAACTTCTGTAAATGGAAAAGGTGCAAGGTACAAGATATGCAGAAGGAGCTTTTTGTGCCTAAGGTGCAAGGTATGGCAGAGCAGAAGGGGCTTTTTAAAAGTGCAGGCACAAGATATGCGGAAGGGGCTTTTTGTGCCTAAGGTGCAAGGTAAGGCGCACACCTTTTTGAAGCCAGATGCAATATTTAAAAAAAAATAAAACAATTAAAATTAAAAATACAAGTTGAATTTTAAAAGAAACTATATGTTTTAAATCTGACTTAAATTAAAATACATGAACATAACATATAAAATATGTTCAAAGTGAAATTGTAGAAATAAAACCAAACATATGAAACATTTTCAAGCACTCAATAATTCAAACATGAAAACTTTCAATCTTTTCTCTCCCAATTGCATTACTTCAGGTAGCTAATGTGATGTTAAACACCTTGCATTCCTAATTCTATGAGATCAACCATCCACCTTCGGCCAAACCACTATGTGAACTAAGGTGCATGCTTGAGCCAAGGCATTAGGCACACTAGGTGCACACCTTTTCAAAGGGGCTACACTCACGCTCAAGTGGGGCACATACATTGAAATGTGCCTTACTTGTGCACCTAGGCACACCTTTTAAATAATTGAGACATAGATCTCAAATTTACCAGATAGGCCACTTCATCTTAATATCTTATTCATCCCAGCATCCTGTGAGACTTCAGTGCCATAGAAATTTGCATTGAAGACTAGGATTCCAAAATATACCAAGACCAACAAAAAGAAAAATCTAAAATTCACATTTCCCAATTAGCTACAATATTAGTTTGGAATTATACTCTTGCAAGATTTAAAGAAATACCTGACTCAATATTCCACCAAACCTATTTTTCAAAGACATCATTTTCGCAAGCCCCTTTTCTAATGTTGATGGGAATTGTAATAGACGTAATGTATGGCCAGTTGGAGCTGTATCAAACACGATAACAGAGTAATCCATTGTTTGCACTAATCTGTAAGAAATAAAGTGGTATAAAGATTCTAAGATCAGTGTATGGACATGCCTACCAGTATAGAAAATGGCAAGCATAAATGTGATCGAGACAAGCAATCATATCATGGATCTAGAAATAATAAAGAAGCAAGGATGGATATAAACATCAAAAAAGTAACTAGGATGTGAGTATTTGAGCAAAAGAACTAATCTATTTTCTTTCAATTCTTTTATACGTAACAAAATTTCATTAATACATGAACAGAAGTTATGTACAAGTTCAATGTCCCAGGGAGAGGTAGAACTAACTACCTCACCCCAATACAACTAATTACAAATTATTGCAATTGAGCCCAACACAACTGGTCCCTATTTAACCCTTGCTTAGCTAGAGAATCAGCCTGGCCATTTGCAACCCTTGGTACCCAATGAGTTCCTATCACCATGTCCCTTGTTAACCACTTATCTTTTTTAACTTTTTTTGGTAAGAGAACTTATCTCAAGGCTGGAGTTAATCATGTAATAAAGCATTAAATCTCTTAGCTTGAGAATAATTAAAGTATTTTTAACCCCTCCTTTATCAGTAATATCAAGATCAAGAAAATCTATTAATAAATCATAAACAAAGAAAAACTAGGTCAAGCAGATCAGCCTGCCAAAACACAGGACACCCCAAAGTCTAGCACAAAATTCAGGCCTCCAAAACAACTCTTTTTGTATATTCCTCTAGGTAATGAATCTGCTAGAGTTGGCTGATCTTTGGATCCATCTGAACGTGATGTTTTTTGTGGATATCTAGGATCTAGCCTCCCTAATGAACAGATGCAGAGATCAAAGGCCTGCTCCACCATCTAACATCCACCCAATCACCACTTTACAATCCTCCTCAGCCTCAACCCTAACTAGCATATTCATTATATAATACCTAATATTCAAACTAGTCTTGTTGTATATTACTTGTACCAAAATGTTATTCTGTGAACTTGCATTTTTTTTTTTTTTTGAAAGGCGAAAAAGAGATTGTATTGAGCATAAATCCTAGGATTCAGGTTCAACTTCCCAAGACTTCACCAGCTAAGCTATCTAGCACCTTCATTATATACACCTAATATTCAAGCTAGTCTTGTTGTATACTACTTGTACCAAAAGGTTATTTTGTGAACTTGCATGTATAATTGTATATACCATACAATATAAAAGAAAACTCAATCCTTGTCTCTATTCTAGATGAAGACACAATAACTAGTCCAGAGAGTGAAAGTGTCAGGCCACCATCAAACATGGTAGACACTAATTACACCAAATTTATGATCCCCCCTTCCTTGTCAAAAAGATATACAAGGTTCAAACTCTCAACAAAGATGCATATTAATTATTAAAGTTTCAGCTCTATTAGGGGTATTCAAATTCAGATGATAAACTGAAAACCTAACCAAACCAAACCAAATAAGCTAGTTCGGTTCGGTTAATTCGGGTGTGGGTTCAGTTTGATTCTTGTTTCTTTAAAAAATCGGTTTTCGGTTTGGTTGAGATTTTCAACCGAACTGGACCAAAAACCGAACTAGTGGTTGTATATAATTAAGTCTATTAAATATATAATATTCTATTTAAAACTTTACACTTATTAATTAATAATTGTTACCTTTTCCAATGGCCAATTTGCAATTCCCCATTGTGCTTTACAGCTTTAGGCCCATTCTACCTTTTAATTAATAATAATTAATTAATTGTCTAGAGACTCTAAAAAACTAAAGTATTAAAACCTAGACTAATTATTAATTATTCATTAATTGTTTGTGAAGAATGAGTATAGTTGTTTTAATAATTAGTCATTAAATTGTTCATGAAATGAATGTAAGTGTAGTTGTATTAATTGTTCATTAAGACCTAGACTAATTATTTAAACCTATACTAAAGACTAATAATTAATTGTTCATTAATTATTAAAACTGAACTAAAAACCGAACCAAACCGAACTGAATTCAGTTAGGATCGGTTCGGTTCTAGACTCTAGTTTGGTTCAGTCCGGTTGGGAGAGATGGTCAAACCGAAAAGTCGTCGATTAGGTCAGTGGTTCTAACCAAACTGACCGAATGTACACCCAAAGCTCTATGAATGCAAGTCTGGTTTCTACTACACCCATATCTATTTTATATAGAGAAAAGGAGGAGGCTAAGAATCCTCTTATCTCAATGCTCACATGGATATCCTCCTCTCATTCCTCACATGTGGTTATTTATTTTTAGATCCAATTATTAAAATAAAAGAACTTACAAAAAAAAAATTCTCTTAGATCTTTTATTTTTAGATTCAATCCCCCCCCCATAAAAAAACCCCTCATATCCTCTTCGATCTCACTAAACCCCCTTTTGATGTTCTCTAATAAAGCAGGGGTATAAACATGAACCTTGGTGTGGATCCAATGTGATGTCAAAACCCAAATTTGCCAACCTAAACCTAACCAAATTTCTATTCAGCCCCATGCATTGCAAGGGTTTACTTGCTAATATAGAATTATAGATGAAGAAGGGCCTAGTAACCTCAAACCCAAAAAAAAAAAAAAAAGAAAAGAAAGAAAGAAAGAAAGAAATACTAAGCACAGCATTTGAAGAACATTATTTCAGTCCTAAATCCACTCAATGTAAATGAATCTATAAATAAAACCCTATATTTTTTCTCAAAAAAACAATAATCCCCCTGGCCCCCTCCACCAGAAGAAAAAAGAGTAAAAGAAAAATATTACCCTGCATTTGTCCCATCAATTAAAACTATGTTGTTTCCAATATCATTCACTATTCTCCCTCCAAACCCTTTAACTCAAAACCTTAAGGATATCAAGTCAGTGCTAAACTTTTATGTGAATCAACTTTAATTGGAAACTCATTTGTCTTGTAAATCTACGTTAATTGAAAACTCATTTGTCTCTCTACCATCTTTGTTTTCCTGGAATCATCTCCACTAATTGTTCTTACCCTAGTTACTCATCCATCCTGTGCAATTGTTAGGGCAATAATGATCAAAATGAAATGTTTTCCAGTTCTCACTATAATTTTCAGTCAGTTTCCTAATTAACAAAATTGCATCAAATAAGGAGTACAAGTAAACAAATTTTGGAAATAAAAAGAAAGAAGAGCTTACTTAAGCATCTCAGCAAAGCTCATAGCCTCATCAATACCAGGAATTGCATTTGCTAACTCAGAAACAAAGCTATCCATCTCTTCCATATTGGTCAAGTCCTCGTTCTCTACATTGGGATCCACCTCCTGGCAAAAATCATCAAAAATTTGCTTCGATACAATATTGATATAAAGGCTTCAAAACACTCAAGAGGTGAACTTGCCAGCATTCCATCATAAACGGTATACAGGTAAATTACAGTGGAGGAGAAGCATAGAAACATTCAACTCTTTTTCCAATAAAAGAGACGGACAAATAGACATGACTTCTCTGACATTTTGAAGCAATATGGATTCGCTCCTATTTGTTAATAAAAAAGGAAATTATTGAAAATTAAGATACGAAATGAGCATCAACAGAATTCGTCAAACCGTCAAAGCACGAATTTGTTATCAAGTACACAAAATCCAACCAATGCCACAACTTGGACAACATAGCAAACCACGGAAATCAAACAAATTAAATTAAAAAAAAAAAAAAGTAAACACGAAACGGAAATTCCTAATTCATCGAAAACCAAATCTTGAACAAAATCAAGAGATTGGCTTCTAGTAATAAAGAAGACAAAAGTACAAGTGAGACGGATCGAATTCAGAAAAGCGACTCTTTAATTTGAAGAGATACCATGGCGTATAGATTGGTGAATCCATTGACCAAAGTGGGCATTTTGGTGAATCGCTGCTGAAATGCATCGCTTAGATTATGAGCTGGATCGGTTGATATGATCAAAACAGAGGATCGAACCCTAGAAAGAAGAATCGACAAGACCGAACTGCAAGTTGTCTTGCCTACACCACCTTTCCCCCCAACGAAAACCCATTTAAGACTTTCTTGATCCAATATGTTCTGCACCGTTCCTTCTGGTATCCCTTGATCCGTCGCCATTACCAGAAAATTCCGTCTCCCTCTCTGTCTTTTCTCTTGCTCTCCCTAATCCTCCTCTGTGTGCTCTTCTTTTGGTTCTTAAATTTATTCTAAAAACAGCAAGACCCAGACGAAATCGAACAATTTACTAGACTAATTCGAGAAAATAGACAATTCTAGTTAAGTTTCGAGAAAGAAAATAGAAAGAATAGCTCACGGTAGTAGTAGCCAGAGTAGATGTAGCAGCCGAGGATGATTTGTTTCCAAGGTTACAGCGGCAAACCATCTGGTTTCCGTGGTAACGCGCACAGGTGGGGCGTGGGATATACGGGTTATGGACAGATGCTCAGGAGCTTGTGTTTGAGTTTAAGCGAATTGGGATATGTTCCTCACAACGCGCGCCTCACAGACACATCTCACTCCCTATTGAAAATATCTCCGTACGAGTAATAAATACAAGAATGGGAGATATTGCCGATGTAAAGCATGACATGGTGTTGGCAAGTGTTAATAAACTCGAGTGGAATTTTTTTCCTGAAGCCTTCTTTTAAGTTTCTTACCGTTGCTTATAATCCTCCAACTCTAATAAAATGCATGAAAATGTTTAAAATATACATATAATTACTATTGAGGTTAGTTAAAAAACAATATAAACTTTATAAATAAAAAAATAGAGAATTTAAAGTTGCAATTTCATCTTTGAGCGATTGATATAGACAAATTTATAAAATAATTCAATTTCAGGAAGGAGATTGAAGGGTTTGGGCTAATGATTCATATGAGGAGAAAATTTAAAAAATAGACATTTTGATCAAAAGTAACCCCATAAGTATTTTAAACATTTTCATATCTCTTTAGAAGATTCTAACAAAAGGAGTGTACTTCCACTTCCAACTATGCCCAAAAGACTATGAGAGGTTTTAACAATTTATCCATAAAAATTTGTGCGGGAAGGTTTTAGCAATTTAATCCAACCCCATTAATATTCTTCTATAAAAACCATTAATATTCAGACCGAAAAGAATATTTTTTAGGAAAATATCGAAATGAATATTATGCATCAGATTATGATCAGAATCAGATTGGATTCATATATTATGTATAGTTACTAAATTAAATAAAAAATGAATAAATATTTCATTTTATTAACAAAACAAAATAAAAATGACTTATTGGGTGTTTGGCATCGAAGCATTTTTCAAATGATTCATTTTTGCTGATGTGGCATTGATACTACATCATGAGGAATTTTTGAAAATCAACTGTTTTTGCCCGTTTATTTGAAAAACGCTGCAACAACATTTTATCCTCAAGAATTAGGATTCATCTTTTCAGGGGAAACATCATTTTGACGTTTCTACTTTCTAGAATCGCATCTTGATTCAACATCAACCAATCTGACATGGCTAAAGCTCTCATCTAATGTGTTAACTTGCCATATCAAATAAAGAACAACTAGCGGAGGGGCCCTGCTTCGCAGGGTTGGAATGGAATTGTAACATTGTTATTTGCTACGTTAAAAAAGACAATAGTTTTTTAATAAGAAACTTGCAATTATAAGTACTTAAGTCTTGAAACTCATTAGTTTCTGTTTATGGGTTGTTTTTTCTAGATGTCAATAATTAGACAAAACAACTTTGTAGTTATAGTCATGGGAAGGGTGGACATTGCAAGGGATTCTAAAACCATGAATGATAAATCCAAAGTAACCTTAAACACAGAAAAAAAATTGGCGATAAACCCACCAAACTAGAAAAACCAAGGAAAAAATAGAAAATCGAATCCAAAATTTCACTTTGAGATGGAGCTAAATATGCATGCAATCAAAGAAAGAGGCAAAGAAAATCGTCTTGTAAAAAATTAAAAAAAAAAACATTGCACAAAAATAAACAAAAGGGAAGAAATAAAATGGTGGTAAACCCTAGACCATTATGGAGAATCTTAAAGAAGAAAACCAAACACACACAAAAAAAAAAGCAGAAAATGAAAAAAAAAGGAACATACCACATATGCTCGAATAAAACCCACAATAGAAGAAATCTTTAAATAGTGAAAATCCAAAAGCATAAAAACTATGGTTTTTGAATCGTCGTTAACCCGGATGGACGGACATTTCGACCCGGGAACCATCCAAACAACCAATTCTGTTTTACCCCAATCCGGTCCCTGGCCAAAAGCCGTTGAATCGATCAATGACCCATTAACCCCGGCGGTCGAACTGTCAACCCGTTGGCCCATTCAATGGTTTTTGGCCATTTTTTTATTTTTTTAATTGGAAAACGTCCAGGCAACTAGTTCTATTTTATCCCAATCCCAATCCTTGGCAAAAAACCATTGAATCGGTTAACGACCCATTAACCCGAGTAATCAAACCGTCGACCCGTTGACCCAGTCAATGGGTTTTGGTCATTTTTTTATTTTTTTAATTGTTGTTGTCAGAATAGGTCGTCCATTCAAACTGGACAGTTGAACCATCAACCCAAAAACTGGTGGCCAGAACAGTTCTGAATCGGTCAACAATCCATTGACCCAGGCAATCGAATAGTTGACCCGTTGACCCGTTTAATGGGTTTGGGTCATTTTTTTATCTTTTTTAATTATTGTCAGAATAGGTCATCCATTCAAATCGAACGGTCGAACCATCGACCCGAAAACCGATGGCTAGAACAACTCCGTTCTTGGGTTGTATGAGTCACATGCTCGAATGACATAACACGTATGATATTACTTAATGGACCTCAGACACTCAATTTTTTGTCTGTAATTTTTATTATTAGAACGGGCTATTCGTTCAAACCGGACGATTGAGCCATTGACCCGAAAACCGATGGCCATAATGGTTCTATAATTTTTTACTTGTAATTTTTATTGTCAGAATGGGTTGTTCATTCGAACCAAACGGTTGAACCGTCGATTGTTAGAACGGGCCATCCGTTAGAATCGGACAGTCAAACCTTATGTTTCAATGAAGAATCTTATATATATATATATATGTAAGATCAGGTGCATCACACACACATTAATTCCTTAATTCCTCTTTTTTACTTCTTCCGCCTATTGCCATCATTGCCTTCTATCCATTCGCCACTCTTACTCCCTTCTTCCAACTATTGCCATTGCTGCTTTGAGAATACTTACATCGAGCCATTGTTGTCGTTTGAAGCCTTGTGTTTGTTCGTTTCAAAACCAATTTGAGTTTCTTTCCTTTACCATCAACCTTTAGTTAGAGGTGTAAATTGGGCCGTGCCATTTGTGACCCAGCATGATCTGGTCCAGTCCAATAGTTTACAAGTCGTGTCGTAGCACAACACGATTGTATGGGTCATGTTGAGCTTGATGTTTCAGGTCCATGGGCCGGGCCGATACGGCGTGCACTGTCGTACCGTACCGCCCATGGCCCACAAGCTAGCACAGCCCAACCCGTAGGCTCACCCAAAGAACTAGCCATTGGAGTCCCCCCCCCTCAATGACTAATTTCAAGTTTTTGGGGTTTTTTTTATAGAAATACCCCTAACAACTATATGAGAGGGTATTTATGTATTTTGGCTTTGGGAGGAGATAAAATGACAACAATGCCCCCCAAAACTATATAACAACTAGTTTATGGGTATTTAAGTAAAGTGATAAATGACTTTATAATGACCAAAATACCCCTCCTAACAACTAAAAACCAACTAGTTTTTAAGGTATTTTGGGAAAATAAATTATTTTCAATTCCTATAAATAGTCTTATCCTCCACCATTCTCATCACTCAAATTCTCATACTCTCTTATACTCTCTCAAATCTCGATCTCTCATACATCATACTCTCACATATACTCTCATACTCTCTCTACTCTCCAATTTTCAACTTGATTCAAGTTTTAACAAGAAGAATGCTTGCTCAAGTATCTTAAGTTGCCAATTTAGGAGACTTGGAGGCTTCAGCTAGCAATCCTAGTAAGTGCAATTAAATTATTTTTTATTTTTTTTTATAATTAAAAAAATGGTTGGTTCCTCCTGTTCAGTCGCAATATGATAGTTTTAGCGTTGATATGGGTGCTACTAATATTACTGACGTTCCCACCCCTAATTCTGCTACTAGAGGTAGGGGAAAGAAAAAGGAAAACATTAGGTTGATTAGCCCGGTTTAGACAATATTTGAAATAGAGAATGTTAAGGGGAAGGGAAAGAAAGCCATTTGTAAAAAATGTAGGAGTGACTTTAACTATAATAGTAGTTTTGGTACTAGCCACTTGGGCAGGCATTTGAGATGCCATATGATGAAAAAAGAAGAAAAAGGGAAAGAAACATCATAAGCACAAATAGGAATTGAGATTTTTAGTACTTTTAAATATTCCCAAGAAAAAATGAGGCAAGATTTAGCAAAATATATTGTGCATGTTGAATATCCATTTTTATTAGTTGAAGATACTAAACTTGAAAAATTTTTATGTAGATCTATAAATTCACAATTTAAAAAAGTTTCTAGAAATATTATTAGAATAGTTGCTTTAAAATTTTTTTATTCATATAGACAAAATTTAATTTCTATGTTATCAAATCTTAATTCTAAAATTGCAATTACTTTTGATATTTGGACATTTAGATTTAATGTAAGTTATATTGTATTACTGGTCATTTTATTGATGAAAAATGGTTTTACATAAAAGAATTTTAAGTTTTACTAATTATTGTTGTAAGTATTTTAAATATTTTACATATTTATGAATTGAA